CTCGATTTCTAGTTTTCTGGAAATACTCAGTGATTCGGCTATGGAATTCGAAGTTGCACCAGATTCGGCTGATTAAGCATTTCGAAGTCGCTCGAATCGATAGATGACTGCACATTTTGAAGCCAAGTGACACTGTCTTCGATTGTTGGTATTGATGTGTCATCCTCGCAAGGATTATCCAATCAATGAACAGTGTCATGTTCGCGTCACACGAGGTGAAACACCATTGACTGATTTCGACACTGCAGGTTGGCTGGTCACTGACCGTCCCGAACGTCGGTCACCTACCAAGTGACAAACTGAGGGAGAGGGCAACATTGCATGAACCTTGATTACATTATTACGTATGCGGTTGGGTTTTCGAAAAAATGGAAAGATATTGGAAAATGCGACTTCTCAGGGGTGTGACATAGCAAGAGATTGACTTGATATCCAATGGCGGAGTTGCATTTTCTGTTCTTGTTCGTGGTAGAAATCCAGTGGCCATGTTCGTTGCTACGAGTTTTCGGCTGAGAAGTTCATTACCGGGGTCGTTGTGTTCGCACGAATTGAATGACAGCTCTTGATGAGTACCCTATAACGGTTGACAACGATTCAGTCTCCACCATCGTTACCGCGTCAACTGAAACACCTTGTTTCAGGCAGCTCTTTGGGCTCAATGCTTGTTTTACCGGAAAATAGGGATAAATTCATTGTTTATTGAACTCTTTCTTGATCAGGGCATCGACATTTCCCTAAATTAAACCATATTTTCGTAAATCAAACAGCACTACTGAGAAAATGGAAAGTAGTTGAATTCACATCTTGTAATTGCAATTGAGTGATACCAGTCCACCGTCGACTGTCACCAATTTGTTTCGTTAGGACAGACGCCTGCTACGTCATCGAAAATATCCTGAGTCCTTCGATTGACCACGGTGGTTGAATTCATCCATCGGACTGAAAGACATCACCGTGTATACTGTTGGAATGGCACAATACTCCTTCAGCATATACTGAACCCCTCTGTTCACATAGGTAATGGACGAGGTAGAAAAACCCGACCACATATACGTCTTCAGTGATCAAAGAAATTCTCGTCTGTCGTGTATGCATGTGTATGTGCAGATTACTTCGCTAACAGCGATCTTCGTTGGTCTGACGACTATAATCTTCTTGCATTATGCATAACAAAAACAGTCGTATACGTTTTTTAAATTTTACAGAACATTGTGCAGTTGCTTCTAGTAGTCGATCCCGTATTGCCAGAGGATATAAAGAAATAACGCTGGCAGTGTTGGAATTCAAATGCGATCTGCAGGTGGATGCAGGAATCATTCATAGCTATCGCGCGTAATCTTCCATTCATTCTTTTCTAGTTTACTGAACTAGGGGTATCAAACCCAACGCAATGTTATGCGTTATGTCCATTTTATCTCAACTATTCTTTCTCTTCTGTCTGAAAATATAGCCCAGTTCTAGCTGCTTACCTGCTATGAAGGGAGAATATTATAATGGCTTATGGTATCGTCTACACGGATGGCTGTGATTAATCAAGTGGTATTCATCTTTGTAGTTTTTCGATTTGCGATGGAACCAGTTACTTCAATGACCCATAAAAGTGGTATTTCTCCTAAAGGCAATTTTTTCTTGAAGGTTTACAAGACTTTATTGCACTAAAGCTTCAATACCATAGAACACAACACCAAGCCAGTTTGAAGCATTTGTCATCCAAATGGATCGGAAACTGAATTCCTTTTTGAAGGTTCGTGAACTTTTCATTTAATTCTAACTTAACAAAGTTTCGTTCATATCGTTCATATAAGCACCATCTTCTCCTGTTTTAACTCGCAGTCGCATCATTTTACTACCCCAATCTTCGAAGCGCTTCCGTGGTCCGGTTAATGGTTAACAGTCTCCAAAATCTCTTATCACTTACTTTTTACTCGTCATTTGCTGTGCTAACGAAGATCCTCATCTCGCGTTTTTTGTTTGCTTTTGGATAACCTACACTTCTTTTTATACAATAAATCATTGTAGCAATTATGGTTACGTGCTATCGAAGATGCAACACGAGTCTTGGTCACACAACGGAAGAACGTCGACCCGACTGATGCGAAAAAATCCGCAGATCCCAACCGACAGTCTGTTTGGTCCAACGACTCTTTTGTACGAGTGAGCAAGGCGGCGAACAGTTCTCCGAACGAGGCTAGTCCCGCAACCACTACCGTCATTCAACCGGGAAAGTTACCTGCGTACGCAGTTCCGCCCTCTTCTGTTCCACCGGAAGCAGCCAGAGAGACGTTAAAAGCGCTCTCAGCCACTTTGCCCGAGTGTGCTGAAATGTTCTCAACTGTGGCTGAGGATGATACTCCAGCTCCGATAAGAAAGAATCCATTTAACGACTCTTCTCCTGGTAAATTGTCCCTTCTGGCCATGGTCCTATTCATTATTCTTTTGATTAGCCTATCATCAGCACCATTCTCTAACCTAATATAACCTGTCGGCTAAATTTCGATTGTTTTGTCAACATCGACCTGTTTAATTTCAGGTAATACGCATTGAAAATGGGAAAGTATTCAATTCATATCAAACCTAAGGGTTTTCAGGTCTGGAGCCCTCAAACGCAACCTGTCGTTGATTCGAGATACTGCGGGATATGGTGTGTAATCGCATTCAGTGTCGTAAACGCATCTTTTCGCGTTTACCATCCCGTAAGAAAAAGGCAAAAATAAACAAATATTTAAACAATATTAAGCATGTGCATATATATAATTCCTTTTCTCTGCTTATTCCTCATTTCTTCTTTTATTGCTTTTTTGCTGTATCTTTTGCCGATTACACCGTATTTGGGTTAGCTGATCATATATAGAGTTCAGCTGGCCCCCCGTGAGTACGACATTCCCGTTTGGTCAACTATTCATTTCGATTCCCAAACTATCATTTTTTTTCTGGGCAATTTTTTACTGGTACAAGTAATCGCTGTTCTTTCGCCATTCACTTTCTCATGTTGTCTTTACTCAAAATTCGTTGTTACTTTTCGCGTCAGCGTCACTGATGTTTAATTGATATCCACTAATCAGCCGGTTGCTTGATTTGATTCACTGATACGAGGCTATCTATGTTTGCCATTCGGTGTCACATAGGAGATATTGCAGTTCATAATTCAGGTTTCTACCGTAACGGTTACAAAATGTTGATTCTGACGGGGGATGAAAAGCTTGTCGAGTTAGTATTTTTCGAAGAATAAATCA